TTAAACTTTGACATGTCATGGGCTCGAACCTTCATCCTAATTTTGAGAAACAAAACAATAGACCACTGGATCCATTGCAAGGCTAATGTCAAATGTTGCACAATATTATATTTATTGATATTTAATTGAACCGATGGTTTTTACAATTTAACCAATTGAACTGGTCAAACCGAGACCCGGAGGTCAAAACAGTTTGACCTCCTAGTCGATTTTCAAAACATTGGTTAGATCTAACATAAGCAAAACTTGATGATCTTAAGGCAAAAATTCAAGATCCGCTGGAGGAGATTAATTTAGGTGATTTTACTTAAGTTCAAAGATTTTTTGCCTGAGATTATTATGAAATCTGAAGTTTAGACTATGAGTCAATGGAGCATAGATTGCCAATTAGAGAATACTGTAGAAGTCACTCTTAAATTCGATGAAGAAATAAAGTGACTGTTGAAGGCTAGTTTCATCAAAACTTCTACGTATATAGAGTGGTTGTCTAGCTTAGTTTGAGTGCTAAGGAAGAAAGGTAAGCTATAAGTCTTTGGTTTTTCAAATTTTGAACTTGGCCACACCAAAAGTTAAGTATCCTTTGCCCATTGTCAATCTGCTATGGATAGAACAACACGACATAAATTTTTGTTATTTATGAATGGTATAGCGGGCACAATTAGATCTTCATAGTTGAAGTAGGCATATCAAAGATTGCTCTTCATTGCCTGAGAGCCATTGCTACACATGGATCGATGGTGTTTGGTCTAAAGAATGCTGGAGCAATGTACTAAGCAATCATGAATGCCATTTCTCATGATGTGATTAGAGAGTTTCATGGGATAAGGGCATGTTAAAAATAGACACATCAAGTGTGGCATGATGGTTTTGGACTATTTAGTATACTCAACACAGACAAATTGGTCCTACCCAATCTTCAAATATCTTGATAAGTTGAAATTTGAAGTCTCAAGAATGACAACAATGCAAGCCTTAAATTATGTTTTATTAGAGGATGAGCTATACAAATGGGGAGGCATGATGAACTCCTTTGGCGTTGCCTAGGTCCAAATTGGTATGCCAGGTCATGTCAAACATGCATAATGCGATATGGGCACACACCAAGCGTGCTGACTTATTTGTAGACAAGGTTTCTTTTGTCCATCAATTTTAAATAATTGTATCAGTTATGATAAGATTTGTGTGGCCTATCAGATTTTTTGGGTCATGACAAAAAGTTTCAATGTCACAACTTGTTGTTTAACCCTAACCATTTGTGTAATATCCCAAAAATTTTGAAATTTTAGACGTATATGTGTACACATGAATATATTAGTACAAGTGAATTCAAATTTAAGTTAGGAATTTATATGGGAGGAACTAGACCTGGTAAACGGGCGGGTTGGGTCAAGTTTGGGTCGGGTCAGAATAGGTAACGGGTCAAAACAGGTTGGGTTAAAATGGGTCACGGGTCAATAAAGGTAGACCCTAACCCGCCCATCATGGGTCAGGGTCAACCCATAGGTTAACCCAATTAATTTTTTTTTTCTTTTTTTTTTCTCTATAATTTGTACCTATTATCATTTAAAGAAAATTATTCAAAAGATTTCAAAAAGAAATTCAACATCTTATAAAAAGAATTTTTTTCCAATTAATTTAATGTATACATATTTATAGTTCTTTA